AGATGCCCATTCTGGCTTGACTATTGTCTCCTTTGGAAGTCCTGTAATGTTTACAATGCCTAAGTTTTATTGGTCTTGTTCTCTACTGTTTTGTCCAACTTTATAATATCTAATGAGATAGACAATTCTTTTTAAGGAAACAAGAGACAATGTTGATAACCATTGTTGATAACCTTGTACTCTGTTCTACATCATGTACTATGTCTATCCTTGGTTTTGACTGACAGCTTTGTTTTGCCATATTTGACTTTATTCTCTCCCCCCCCAAAGAAAGTAATAAGAACTAAGGAGTAATAAAATCCAAAATGTGTAAATTTTGTTCTAAAAAAGAGAGGGGGAAAAAAAGAGCTCTAACGGATATAACAGCAAGTGTGTTTAGGGGTGTTAAATAGCTGACTATATTAATGTTTTTGGATCATCGAACAGAGCTGTTTGCAGTTTCTCTGTTTGAATGTCCACTTTGTATTCTTTGATACTGTGATTTGAGCAACTATTTCCAAAATGATAATATGTAATCTATTAACAGGTCATTTCTTACTGTTATGTTTTTTTTTTTTTTTTTTGTAGTTCTGTATTATGTGTACCCTTACACCGCTTTGTTTTGTGTTGTGTTTTTCTCTTTTTCCTCTTAAATAAAATTAAAAAAAAAAGAACAAAGGAAGATTTCCCAAGGCCCAGAAAACTGATGAAGAAGAAAGAAATAAGGAATGAAGAAAGAAAAAAAACCAAAACTAAAAACAATGCTTATACTCACAAAAAAAAAAAAAAAAAAAGAACAAAGAAAGAAATCTGGAACACGTTTTTTCTTCTAGGGTCTATAGTTTCAAGGCAGAGTTGAAGTCAAGTGCTGTCCCTACTCTGGCCATTACTCTGCTGCTGTCACCAGCAAGTGGCAGTAGAACTGGGGCAGGAGCACAGTTCTAGGACTTCAAATTCACCTCAGCTCAGGCTCCCTGATCATGGATGGCTCCCGTGGCACTCTCTGACCAAGCGATCCCAGGAGCATAACATAGGGATCCCTAAAAGGCAGCCAGCCTGTGGGTGCTCTGAGTCCCGGGTTCAGGGGACCCCACCCCTCTCTCCTGGGGACAGCAAGCCTGTGGACTGGATCCACTCACCCCCAGACAGCTTCCCCAGCCTGTTGCATGGGTGTACATCCCTGGAGTCCCTGCTTTCACTTTGTCTCTGTAGATTTGATCTTCATTTCTCCAAGCCAGGACCAGGAGACTGGGAGGAAGTACAGATCGCCCTTTCTTTCCCCACTGTGTGCTGTCTCTTCAGGGAGAGGCTCCATCAGATCCTTCCTGCGTCCTGGAGCCACCTCACTTCTTTTCTTCTCCAATTTTATTATTTTCCAGAGCAACTTAAAATTTTGTCTTTCTTACAGATCATAAAACTGTCTCTTACAAATGTGTCAGTGTGATGTTCACTGGTGTTTGTCTCCTGGGTTTTACTTTTTACTTTTTAAGCAAGCGCAGTCACTTAGCATTTGTTTACTTTAGAGGCAATGCTTGGCACAGCTTACACTACTTAAAAACAAAAAACAAAAGCTCTTCCTGTTTTAGCCATATAAAATTCTTCTTAGAGATTGTTTATCTCCTGGAGAGTTCAGAGGGAAAGAAGAATATCTTTGAAGACAATTATTCTCTTAAACTGTTGGAAAGACAGAAATTTAGATTCCACAGCAACAGAGACCCTGTCTGACAGCTATCTGAGAGGAGGCAAAGACAGAAATGACTTCATGATTCATGGCCAGAGGAGGAGTCTGGACATGAATACCCACCCTCGGAAGAAGGACCTTTCATGAACAGACACGACATCATCTCTGCCACCCAGTATGGTCCTGTACCCAGTTACCAGGGATTTCTGTCATGCTTTGATGCTGAAAAGGTACTGCACTTAAGGTACTGTGTCTTCCAGGAGGGGGATAGAAATACCAGTCATGTTTGGAAGTGATTTTCGCCTTGGCCAAATGTGCCTCGAAGGCATATTTAAGTTGCTTTTAATAAAATAAAACTATTTCCTATCATTCTGATTTATATGGACTAAAATGAATTCCTTTCATCAAAAATAGAATGTTGTCATATGTTGATAGTAATGCAGAGGTGGAATAAAACAGATTATTTGCTTGCTTTCATAATGAAGAATTTGATTCAGAAAAGGGCATTGTCTTGCCTACTGTGACAGCTTACTAGTGGCATGCAGGCACGCTATGGCTCTGATACCCTGCTTCCCATTATACAGTTCTGTGCATTACATCCATGAAGCCTCCATTTTTGCAAAAGAATTGCCACTCCGATGAAATGCTCCAAGAAGATCTATTATTGCCTTGCTAGGCTTTTGATGACAGCAGCAATTTCTCATTACATTACACAACTAATGTGGGTTTGGAGACATCAGAAGATCTCATCACAAAGATTTCAGAGGAGGGAAAGGGTATCACTGAAAGCTTTTCCTTCTGTTGCCAGTTCAGCTTCCCCTCCCAGCATCAAATGACCTCTTCAGAGCTGTGCTGTGTTCTCAAGCCCAGACTGCAGGAGCCAGACACCTTTACCTTCTATTCTGGGAACTGACACATAAACTTGCCTAGTGGCCTCGGTAAATCCCTTGCCTTCTCTGCCTTGGTCAGCCTGGATTACAAGATGATATCCTAATTTTGCTGCAGAAGGGCAGCCAGGTGATGAGAGGCACCAAAAGCACTTTTATGGGACACTGGCCACAATCCTCATTTTGCTCTTCAGATAAATATTTTCTTCATCATTCAGTTAAAAATATGATCTACAGAGAGCTCGGTCCTTCTCTCACATTTTCAGCAGTTTATCTGTATGCATAACAAGGGTTAAAAACAGATACAAAAAGGCAGATATTGTAACAACCACCCAGATACATGTCATTCACTGTCAGACGAATGTCCCCAGTTCATACCTCAGTTCTAGGGGGTGTAAGATGTCAAAGGCAGAGTGAAGACTTTCAAGTTATTAGTAGAAGGATTACTTGAAAAGCACATAGAACTATTTTGGAAAATCACAATATTTAAGAAATTATAATGAGCTCTAAGTAGCTGTATAATAACCTTGTGGAAATTCATCGAACCCAATATTTTTCAAACTTCTTTGACCTCACAGTACAGTTTTTCCTGACACAAAAATTAACCACATTGATGAATTGGTTTCTGGAAACACATTTTTAGGGATGCTAAATTTAAAAAGCTTTCTCAGAAAGGGAAGTTCAGTTTGTCACTAGAGTTTCAAGCACAATCGTATGACAAACTGCCACAAAGCTTCTGGGGAATTCTGTATCTGATAGAACACAGACTCAGGGACTTCTTAAAGTCCCCTCAATTCCCGAGATTTAATGAATCTCTTTCACTCCAAATTAGCAACACTGTATAGTAATTTATATTTTTACTATTAAGAGTAGTATCCTTTATGTCTACTAGGCAGAAATGCCACAAATTGCACTAGACAGATCCTTTAGATTCCTTATTTTATCTGTGTAATACCTCTGAGAGAAAGGTACTATAACTTACTATGTAAATTAAAAAACTTCACTGTCAAAGAACATGAATGAATTACCCGTGGACATGGGGCTAAATAAGCGGCATACCAAAGACTGGACACAATTCTTGGATACCTCTCTAAGTCATATCTGTTTCAAAGGAAACTAGCACCTATAGCTGGACTGGTGCAGCAACCACTCAAAACTAGGAGCTGACATTTTTGGTGTCAGCCTCTATGTCACTAGCAATATAGAAATAATATATTATTTCCCTAGGCTCATGGCCTCCCCCGTTACTGCCATGTATTTCTGATTTCTGGAATAAGTGCAGAGGAGACAGTTACTTATTTCTGATTTCTGACCTGTGTGTGTGATCACTCCTGTCTATTTTGGAATGGTATTCACAGGGATGGATTCTGCTCATCACCAGGTCTCAGATTTTATGAAGTTGCTTTGGGCCAGCTTCCTGCTCGCCTGTTGTGTTCCTCCTCCTGGTCACATCATGGACTTGCTCTTCCTGGGCCCCTTGGGGCCAGTGCTGCCTCGGGACAGGCACTTGCAACTGCCTGCAAACACCTCCTACTGGAGCATCTCATTGCAACACCACCCCTGGTGACAGCCAGCAGGATTTTGATAATGGCAGCTGTATCAGTATTTTTATAGTATCTTTTTCAAAACACCAGTTCCCAAAAATTCTCTGGAAGGAAGCACTCTTGGCCACTGAAACTCTAAGAAGAGGAAAGCATATGCTATGAAGCTCTATGTTTAGCTCTGGGTTTTCAGGATCACTGCACAACCTAGCTTGGTATATTTCAGAGTGTAGGTGCATAATTATCACTGGGAAATATTTTTTTCCCCAAGACACTGACTCCATAGATTTTATGTTTTTAGATTAAATTTCTAGATCTTTGGAAACCTGAATTTCTAAGACTCTGAAGTGCCATGATGCCCCCAGACCCCTTTGGAACACCGGCCCTGATGATGCTGACAGATACAGCCTTTCTCACAGTGATGGCGAACCTTTTAGAGCTTTCAGTGATACAAATGGTCCACCTTGGCATGTGTGCCATAGGTTCGCCACCACGGCTCTAACATGAAGTCTTGGACTCTGGGTTCCCAATCAGGCTCCATCTCTCCTTCACTTTACATGACTATTATTTGTTTACTTATATTTTATTTAAACTCTGCCATTAAGACATAAGCTCCATGACACCTGCAGCACTGTCTTCTTTTTACTGCCAAATCCCAAGCACTGAGCAATTCCTAGAATTATAGAGAAATAAATGAGATATCAGATGGTCTTCTTGCAATGCCTAAGATGCACACTGTCACACACTGTCTAATAATAACCAGACACCAAAAGCAGTAAAGGCATGAACAGACCTAGCTAAAACAAAACACCAGCCCCATGCTTAACCCCTTTTATGGGCACAGGACTATTTGAAGGGCCATTGCAGAGGTTGCTAACCCAAGCGTGAAATGCTTCTCTTCTCTGCCCTCACCTGGAGCTGGGAGGCTGAGGAGAGTAGATCCTCAGTGAGTCAGGTTCTTTGATGGCCCAGTCTTACACAAGGTGCATGGAAAGTTCACGACTTTCGGGGAAGCCATTCTCACACACTTCCTTGTTTGCGACAGAGACATCTTCTGGGTCCAGGTAGGATGGCTAAGGAAGGCCAAGCACATGCCAGCCACCCAGCATCACCACTTCTGGTCCCCTGTGCCTACTTGACCAGTGGAAGCGCTGTGCCACCTGACGGGAAAGAGACATCCATCCTAAATGAGCCCAGACTTCACTCATCCCAGCTTCCTGCAACACTCTCAATTATGTCTCGTAATCAACAGGGACAGTAATCTCAGGGTCTACTATAGACAGGAGCTACCTGGAGCCACTGGGATTGATGCAGAGATACTTGAAAGAAGACTCAGATTTCTATTCAATGATACTCTTCACTTCGCCCCAGGCTGGGAACAACATAGGAGACAATTGGCTATGACTAGACTATCATTGTAGCAAAATGGCCAAGAGAAGTTTGGTTCTTGTTACATTTGCCCATGTTTGAAAAAATGTGTAATAAAAAGTTGAAAACAGTCTCATGCAGTGTGTCATAAAGAAAAACTTCCAGTTCAACTTACCATGCAGATACCACAAGTCAAAGGCAGGTGTGGGGTCCCTGAGATGGAAACATAGATATATTTTGATATTGTTTACACTGTAGATCCAGATAAAGTAATGAGGTGAAGTTTATTCTCAGCAACTGACAGTGTGAGAAGACATTTGTGAAGATTCGCTATCGTTTTCAATGCTTAAACTCTCAGTTATTCTTAGTAAAGTAAAAAGTTTCCCTTGTATTAAAACTATCTTACAGGTTCTTGCCATTAAGTAAGATTTTATCTTTCCTATAATAAGTTTAAGAAGCAAACTTTGTTCTTGAACTTTGGGGAAAATGCATGGAATGTGCATTGTCTCTCAATTCTCACATAAAATAATAATGTAAGTTTTATTACAAAAATATAATATCAGTTGCAACTTTTACTGGAACTAATTCTAATGTAAAGTTAGGTGAAGATTTTATATTTTTAATTAAAAACAAGTTTAAACTGGAAACAAAATAGGTTGAGGAAATGCAATAGATGTTGCAAGGTAGCTCAACAATACTTATTGCTTAACCCCCGTATACACCTAATCTGTCCAGCCCATTTCCACAGGAGGAGGAGACAGGTGCCAGGATTTGTGGACCACCCTCCGTGACCCGCACAACCAGTACAGAGAGCCAGCGTTCAAAGGCTGAGCTAGAGAGGCAGACTCAGGGTAGGATCGCAGTTCCTCCTCCCTGTGTGACCTTGCCACTGAACAGCTTAATTTACTTTCCTAAATCTCATCTCTAAAACAGGGAATGATATTACTTCTCTATCACTGAACCACAGGGAAGGATCGATCAGAGTAGAATCTATGGTTTGAGAGGAGAGGAGATGATGCAGGCGACCTTCTGCAGGGCAGTGTGCCCTTGGAGTAAGGGGACGGTAGGAGGAGGGGAAATGAGAGGGTGAAAATGGAAATCAGTGAGTACTTTGGGTTATTTTACCTCCAAGAGCAAACAGGCAAGAGCAGAGGAAGACAGACTGTCAAATTCAAGCTGTGGGTTTGGTCTGCACCAAGCCTATTCCATTACCAAGGTGCCCTGGCAAGATGCCTCTGGCTTCTGGTAATTGCATTATAAGGAGACACCACATGAAAATAAAATAAACTGTAATTAGGGGTGACACTGAAGCTTACCTAGCTCCACCTAGAAAAAAGCTGGGGAGTAGTTTATAAATGTTAGGAAAGGGAAGAAGATTAGTTCTCAAAACAAGGTCAACTATAGCCCATGTGTGTACGAGAGAGTTTTCTATGCCATGTGATGCCACTTTCATGGATGGGGTTGAGGCAGTGACTTATGCTGTGGTGTCAATACCAGGCCAATCACTGCTCATAGGGCAATGGCTAAACAACACAGAGACCAGGGGAAAGGGTGTTCTCTCCTAATCTGTTACGCTTCAGAAACATCCAGAGGGCAAGGTAGAAAAGCGACCAAACTGTCCACAGGAAGAGACAGGAACAACCAACAGCTCCTGCTCCGCGGAGTTGTGAAAATTAAGTAAGACCATGGCTGTGAGGTACCTGGAACACAGCTGTTCTTGGAGACAAGTGTCAACGTTCCTGGTACTACTGCTGTTCACCTCCTCTAGAGACAGACTTCTCCCAGGGTAAGATATGGTTTCTCCTTGGACCTTATTTTCAACCTTTCGACAGACTGCAAAAATAAACCACAAGCACAAAAGCATTCAACAATGATGAGAACCACCACAAACATGGCAAACGAAAGGCTTTGCATCACACTGCTGATCCCAAAAACTAAAACTCCACACACATCAGCCGTCCCAGTCCAGCTTCTCCTTCCTATGCGCTGTCTCCTCCTCTGCCTTCTCCTGGGCCCTGCCTCACTTAATTGATTGCCTTTTCCCACCCCAGACCCTCTGGTTATTTCCTCACACTTTGTATTCCTAGGACTATCACTTCTTTTCTCCCTGCTATGCAGAGTCATCTCTCACCTGCCCAGGCTTGGGAATCCCGCTTACACATCCCAGCCATTGGCAGAGAGGACCAACATTTCACTACAAGACTCTATTCCAAGACTATTGCAACTTAAAACACACTGTTTACAGCTGGTGGAGTAGCCCAAGCTTGTAACCCCAGAATTTTGAAAGGTGAGGGAAGAATATCGAAAATTTAAATCCCACCTGGGCAACTATTGTACTCAGGGGTTGTGCGGAGAACAATTAGAATCAGGACATGGAGTTTATAATATTTTTATGATGGTCACAAGAAAATGCAGGAAATCCATCAATAACACCAAAGACATAGAATATTTATCCAAGGGCCTAAATCCCATAGTAATGTCCTGCATGAGTCCAGATGAAAATCTAGAACTTATGACAATGCCTCACATGAGTGCAACTGGAGGTCCAGAGCCCACAAGAGCTCATGCCAGTGTCTTTTCCGAATCTGTGCCAGGAAGGCCAAAAGGTCAGCAGTGGAAGCCAGAAAGTCCATGCCATCAGGGTGAAAGAGCTGTGCTGGTGGGATGAGGGTTCTATGCCAGAGCCCAGAAGTCACACTCACAACAAAGACCAAGGCTGTCCTGAAAAGAACCACAACCATATTCAGTGACATGGAGGCCCCGAGCTCCTCCAACGACAAGCACAGTCGGGTACATGCCAGGAAGCCAGTGTGACGAGTTCATCCTAGAGACCAAGCGGCACATGTCTTCCTCTCCAGAGCCAGGAAACAATGTTCAATGTGAGGACCGAGCTTCACCAAGAGAACCAGCGGCTCAAACAGCAACATGTAGGAGAATCCACAATGCCTCAAGACCTCAACGCATTAATGCTTCAATGCATTAGCTTTTCCTTCTCCATGTTCTATTTATGCTGGCAATTTTCCTCAGGTGGGACATCTACGCTCAGTGCCATGCTGATGGAATACAGCTGACGTTAAGTTGACCACCCGTTCCTAATCCATAACAGCAACTTAGCCAGAGCCTGTGTCAGTAGCAAATTAAGTTAAATTTAAAGGCTGGGCATGTAGCTCAGCATCAGCACCGTGTGTTTCATCCCTAGGACTGTGAATGAGTGAATGGCTTAGACGCATCATAATCATCTTCAAACTGCTCAATCTTACAGCAGTTCTTCCCTTCCTCACCTAGGAACTGCTTACTGGCAAAGCTTCACTCTCCAACTTTTACACCAAGTGCCTCTGGCTCTAGTCTGTTAAGGCATCTCACCCTGTCTCTTCTCAAAATCAAAACCTGTATCTCAACTTCTCCGGTCCCTGGATATCAATTAGTTTACATGGACATTCAAACCCATCTTTGTTTGTTATATCAAGAGAAAGATTGTGTGAGAAAAGTCAAAGTAATTAAAATAATGCCAAACTTGAAACCAGACACAAAATAAAAGCTCATCACTTTTCAGCGTCTTAATGGTAAGTCACATGGTGGTCTACACTAAATATGTGTGTGTGTCAGAGCTTCGTACACACGTGCAAAAAAGCAATCTTAAGGCCCAAAAGTTGCTCTCAACGTCTCAAAGGGCTGCTTTATATGAATAAATAAATAAGTGGTATGTTATATTATTCAGTAATCTATGCTAAATCATTTTTAATTGAGATTTATCAAAACAGTTACTTCTTGGAGCATTTCTCTTCTTCACTCTCCGTCTGAAGATTTAATTCTAAACACAGGAGGAAGAAAAGAAAAAAATGATAGCAGACATAACCCAGTCAAAAACTTGGATTTATGGAGTACAACCTTGAAAATATTTTTTTAAAACATCAAGCATGTGAATTAAAGCTCTCACCAGGAAGCTATAATTTACACAGCAAGCACTTGGCAGGTAATTCGAGCACTCTGTGATCCTGGTCGCAAGGGATCCTCTTCACAGAAAACCAGCCCTTGCCTGTGGCACCAGGAGGTGAGAAAAACAGGTTCACTTTGTAGCTAGAATGGGTTGTTCCCCGTTCAATGGGCATCTGATAATAAAAACAAACAAAGAAACAAAACAGAACACAAAAAGAAAAGAAGGTGTTCCCAACCACAGTGTAAACCTGATCCAGATGAAAAGCAAAAGGCAAGGAAGCCTTAGATAGTTGGTCTGATACAGAGAATCCACCAAGGTTGCAAAGTTGCAGGCAAACAAAGTGAAAGAAAATGAAAATACAAGTCAAGGGGAAGCTTTCGGTATTTTAGAGTCATTACTGTCATTTGTTTAGATATTTTTCAAATGCTAATTTTAATTTTAGAAGCGTAGAAAATATGTTATCTGCAATTTTTAAAAATTTTTTGGTTGATGGCAACCAGTAAGGATTTGTACTTCTGTCCCTGAAGATGTATAATATACTCCAACAGCCAGCCTGAGTCCAACCACGCTATCCTAAAGGAAAAATGCCTACTTACACCTGGGCTTTGGGAAAAAGTATAAAACACCATTTTTGCTTAAAATAAAACTAGGTCTCTTTCCCACCCTATGCCTTACCCTCAAAGAACAGACTTTTATAAAAATGAAGATTTTTTTTGAAATTAGGGGTAGTGGTAGATCCCAATGATACTGATTGATTTCTTGCAGGCAGTAATAATTACAAGCATTTGCGAGCCTGGAGAGCCCTATTTCTGGTTGTATAGTTAACTAGTATCTTGATAGTGAATTCTTTGGTGGTATTCACCTTATCTGTAGGCATGGTCTCCAACAGAATGGAATTACTCCCTCTCATTCTGCTCAAACGTTGCTTTCTCACTCTTTGGAACTCTTTGGAACTTGGTACCATATTATCCCTTACTTTAAGTTCATGCTTTTCTCTCAGAAAACATAGAAACTGAAGGTTCTAAAGAACTGACAGACAAGCAAAACCAGGCAATGAGACAAGTCATGAAGCTAGGAATCAAAAGTCCTGGGTTCTGGGCTCCAATTTGGCCTTAACTTACTTGCATTAAATATGGCATGCAGTTTGCACTGTCAAAAGGGCTAAAGAATCTGTCTTCAGCAACAACCACAAAAACCCCAGCGAAGTTACCATCACAAGTCAGAAAGCATAAACTGGTGGCCCTTGGCTTCTTTCTTCCTGTCCTTTTGCATTTGGTTAGTAAGCTAATTTTTTAAGTTAGTAGATTTCATATACAATTGCATGTTTACAGACTTTTCTTGAAAATATGTCACAGCTCATAAAATAAAGCTATGTTTATTAAAAATTGCTTTTCATCAAAAGAGCGTGGGCTCTTGGATTTCCTGCATCCTCACCACTCTCAATGATATGCATATACTTAAGCGAGGTGAATTAAAGCATCTGAGTTTACTGCCCCTAGTCCAGAAGAGGCAAAGGTGGGTGAACAAGTGGCTGTGAGGCAGTGGAGGGCACGGGGAAGCCACAGATGCTGTCAACACTGAGGGCGGGACATGCAGGCACACTTACAACCGCATCACAGCCTCCTGGTAGGCAGCCTCCCCTTCTCTGCTGGATAGACAACAGATAAATAAATAGCAAGAATACATGTGATATATATTTAGATTGCACATTAGACTTTAAAATCACTGCCTAACTGAATGCATTAGCCCGTGTTTTCTGTTTATGTCTCCACAATGCCATGGAAACACAGAGCTGCATCCTAATGGGCCTCTCCTGGCAATAAATAAACAAAGTCTTTGTCTATTCATGTTTCGATTTCTTTCTTTTTTATGTAATTTACAATTTCAAAAAAAAAAAAAAGAACAGATCAGTGGTGTTGTGTTGCCACTTTCCTCTCTGCCCCTTCCAGCTTCCTGTCTTGCAAAGAATACAAAATGCACCTTCTGGTGGTGGCTGAAATCAAACCAGCACTATCAGCATTTGGAGAGCTGTGGACACCCAGCCAGACCCACCGTTCCCATTTATAAAACACCATGATAATTAAACTCCGTAACGAAGCTCTTGAAGCATCTCAGTCTAACCCAAAGAGCACTTCATACAATTGTTTAAGGTCAAAATTGATATAAACAGACAAAGTCTGGTGCATCTCCTTCAGTGTGAAGTGCAGTCCAAGTCCATTTCTATAGACAGCAACCGTGGACAGCCCCCTTAAATGGCTCCTTGGTGCTAGTGACATAGTCTCGCCTCCCTGGCTCCAGGAGCAGACAAGCCCTGGCTACCATACACAGGGGCAGGAGCAGGGACAGAGGCAGGGGAGAAACCTGAAGCTCAAAGTGCTGGGAGCACCGCGCCTCCCAGACCAGCTCTGTGCTGTCTGGCACCTGCTATCCCCTACCACGAGGTAACTCAAGACTTAGAAAGGCAGATTTATATCTGCATGGAGAGCTGGACAGATTTGATTAGGTAGCTCAAACCTGCAGAGTCCCTGGGATCCATAAGCAGGCACCTCAATCACAGGAGGAATGAGATGCAGCGAGCAGGTCACAGGCTTTTTCTGCAAGCCCTCAGGGTGAGTTCCTGCAGGGACTTTGCTAGCCCACTCTGAAGCCAGGCATCACCTGCCTGGCAATCCACCTGGCAGAATTTGCTCTGGTCACATTCCAACCACAGGCACCACATGGTGGACCTCAGGACCAGTGTCCGGCAAGTCATGTCTGTTTTCATCAGTCTCAAAACAGTTGTTTGTGGACCAGGTTTCAGAGCATTTGCAAACTAGACCTATCATAGCATCTGCCCAAGGAGAGACATTTTTCATCTCACATTTTGAATGCTGAATGCTGAATCCCAAGTCAGAAAGCAAAGTGTCCACACAAATGCCTTTCCGGTTAACAATCAAATGTCACGAGCTTTGATTTTCTAAAGTGGTACACAATAACGTGAATCTGAATTATGATTCCATATCCTTTGTAAAATAATAACAATAGCATTATCATAGAACATCATTAGATACTTACCTTGAGCTTCTGAGCTAATATCATCCCCTCGTCACAGATGAGGCAAAGTTTTAAGAAGTAAATAACATGGCCAAGGTCAGAAAGCCAGTAACAGTTGAGCTGGGATGAAAACCCAGCTCTTCTTACCACAAAACTCAGGGCTCTTTCTCCCAGTTTCTAAGCACCTCCTAAGAGCCCTGTACGGGGTTGGGATGTTCTCTCCAAATGGTCTCAACTTTTTAATTTCTGTGGTTCACTTCATCCTAAAGGAAAACTCTATTAGGACTGGATTCTCCTATCCCAGGTGCAAGGAAGAAGAGACAAAATTTGCTATTTTATTTATCAAAGCTTCTCCCTCTTGGGGACAAATCTTTAGTGTATTTTGTTCACAATGTCTCTATATGCTGCCTCTCTCAGATCATCTCTTTGTAGGGCTTATGTTTCTGCTTTGTATCCTGTTTGTCTTAGAAGTTTCACAAAGTCTTTTACAGATAGTCATGGTATAAATGCAGGCATATCTGCCTTATGGTTATAACTGGGCTTTGGGAAAAGCTCACATTCCACATAATTATATAAAAATTGCACAAAAATAATGGGGCTTGTGAAGGAAACAGGCATGAGACAGATGAACTTTAAACCTCTGAAGCATTTTAACAAATATCCTATCTCAAGTAATAGTGATATTAATAAAAGTCCATCTCAATTAAATCTCCTCAGACATACACACTTTAAAATCTCATTTATTCTTTGCATGTTTATATTCTGGTTTTCCGTTTCCTTTTTCAAGATGCCAGCCCCTGGTAACAGTATCCTGCAACAGATCAATTTCATCAAAATCCAAAATATAGGCTAAGGGAAGTCATTTTCATCAGTTTGGGAGAAGGGGGAATGGAAGGCAGTGACACCAGTAGAATTATTTTCACAGATTTCACTGGTTCTGGCAGCTTCCCCAGACAGTTCAACCTAGGCAACACACAAAGGTTCTAGATGACACAGCGCAAGTCACGTTTGCAGTAAAGGATGAAGTCCCTCTATTTGGAGGCTTTCCTTGCTTTCTGTACACACTCCTAAAACTTTCCTTTTTATTGTGAAAAAGTTTGCTGTTGACTTCAAAATATTAGCATGCTAGAGAAATTCCACAAGAGCCACCAAAAATTTCAAGTTATTCTGATATCAGAAACAGACGCTTGTGTGGGGCTTCAGTCCTCTACACTTTTGAAGTCCTTAGAAAAAGTATGTATTTATACTTATGTCAAATTTGGTTGAGCAGTAATTATTCACTTAGAATTTAGAATAAGTGACAAATCACAATGTACCAATTTCAAAATGTTGATCATTGCCAAAATCTTTATGAGTTACAGAAAATCTATTTGCTTACATTAATTAATTGACCTGACCCATTTTTATAAAGCTTTGCTGACTGTTATACACTCTCTGATCATCTCTTGCTATGGCACCTAAGTAAAACTCTTTCCTCTGGAGACAATAAAACTCTATCCCGTTTCAAGTAAAATTGACAAAAATATTCCTTCTCATTGATAGTTTAGAAAAGTTTCTTTTAGAATTCCACCATTTGTTAGTGTAATATTTAGAATCTGTGACAATTTAGAGAAAATGCTTATCAAGTTTCTTTTGCCCATGAGCTGTAAGATTACAAAACTGTGGGATTCTATAAGTTTCTGTGATAGTGACTGGTCTTAAATATCTTGGGATTTTCAATACCTATTAACAACTTAATTGTTGATGTCCTCATTTTGCTGGCATATTATGAGTTATGTTGCCTGTGGTAATAACTGTCTTCTGTGTCAAACCAGCAGAAAATTCAATTTTTTTGCAATATGATCATATGGTTGCATTCGTTAACTGGGTTATCAAAACACCCAAGAGTCTCAGGCATTAATTTTTTAAGAATGTATCTCTTGCTCTCAATTATTAACTATTATTTTAGTAAATTTTACAGAAACGCATCATCATCATATGAATGCGATGATTAAATAGCTTTCAGGTAAACCTGCTTCTGTTGACATAATTTTTCTATTCAATCCTGTAAGAATAGTTTGCATGCAGGAAACTTATAGTACAATGAACAGACTCCTTAAACAAAAAAGTTAACAATAAATAAGGGCATGCCACGGTGCACCTTCTGCCAGTTCTGAAACTACACACATTGAAAAGTAAGTACTGCTAACACCAGCTGATGCTTAGTTAGCTCAAACATAAGGACAATCGATATAAAATAGCAACTTATGGCTGATTAGGTGGGGCTATTTTGGACAATCTTGATTTATTTGTTTTTAATTGGACCAGCCCTTTAACTGAATTGTGGAAACTTCAGAGTGTTTGTTTCAATAGCCTGAATAATGACAGAGACAGATTCTACTAAGGCTCAAGCCGGTTAGCAGCAGACAGATACATTTTGAGAAAAATCTCTCTCAATCTTTTCATGCCTGAACTTGTGACTTTATCCAGTTTTCCAGAATTAATAACCTGGAGAAACATGTTAAATGTTAAACGCTTCAGAATAAGCTAAAACTCAAGGAAGTCTTTCTACGCAGGCAGTAAGAAGAATCCTGTACACTACTCCAGGGCAAAGGAACCTGTAATAGGCAAATCTTATCCATGGGGATGGCTGCCCATAAAGCCATGGAGACAGAGGTTCTGTGTGAGAGGAAAGACCTAAGAAAGCTTGAGTCTCAGACACACCTGTGTAAATACTGCATTGTTTCTCTGGTGTGAGAATACAAAAGTGTGAATAAGGACCAAAATGTACAGTGGATACTGGGAAATAGGAAGACAAAGTTCAAATGAC